CCAGGCAGTGGTGGCACACACCTTTAATCTTAGCACTCTGAGCCCATCTGGATTTCTTTGAGTTCAAAGCCACTTTGGACTACATGAGATTGACTCAGTCTAGGAGAGAAACAGCCAGGTGTGGTGGCATACACCTTTAATGCCAGCACTTGAGATCTCATGTCTTTGCTTGGGAAGCACACACGCCTTTAATCCCAGGACGTGATGGCTGGGCAGAGAAAGAGATATAAGGCATGAGGAGACAGGAACTAGGGCTTTTTTTCAGGCTGAGGAGTCCTAGAGGTAAGACATGGCTTGTTCCTTTGTCTCTCTGATCTTTTAGCATTTACCCCAATATCTTGTTTCAGGGTTTTTATTAATAAGACCTTTTAACACTTGAGCTACAAGATTCCCCTAGAAGCACCTGAGAAGCCTCGCCTGTCTTCAGGGCAGCCTGGCAGTAGCCTCCTGGGTTCTTAGTTCATAAATGGGAAGAGTGAGGCTCAGGGACTCAGGGTGTGGGCTCCGAGTCACCCTGCTGAGTGAGACATAGTGGAGAGTGGATGGCAAGTGCCCTGTCACACAGACTGAGCTGAAGACACCTGGGGTTGGACCCTGGGCTTCTGTGTAGAAACCCCTGATATGTGACTGGTGAGAGTTGAGAGCAAGGTGGAGGGAAGGGAAGGGATTCTTCACTGGGGGCCTGGGGACTGGTTCTAGTCCAGTCTCTGGAGTCACTGGTGACCTCGGACAGGCCTTCCTTCTGTCTATGGCTCTGGGAGTCTGTCCTATGACTCTAGGGACAGGAGACAGTTCTGCCCAAGACAGGATCCTGGGACTCAGATTTGAAATCCAGATCCCTATCCCCTTCTCCTCATCAGTATCCCTGGTTTACCTGGTCCACACCAGCCGGGGACATTGATCTGGGTGCCCCTGTCCTGGAGACTCCCCTCCTCACAGACTCTTCAAACCTTGACACCCCGGCTCCCACCACTGTGCTGTTTTGTTTCTTCAGAGTCCTCAGCTAACAGAGTGACGCCATCTTGCCATCTGTCTCCCCACAAAAGCAGAGCTACACCTGAACCCCACATCTTAGTTCAGCCAGCCTGCAGCACCATACCTAGCACACAGTAGACGCTCAGGAAATGTTTGCTGAGGGCAGAGACTGGGCACATGCTTAGCCTAGGTGACAGAAGCCAAGATTTAGATGAAGACCCTTCTTTTGCCCCTGGTAGCTCCTCATCACCAGAGGGGCACTGCCAACTTCAGCCGAGCTGGCATCTACTCACAAAACACATGGCAGATCTGGTGGAGAGGTGGGCTGGAATAAGAGCCATGAGCTACCGGAGAGTGGGTCATATTCTGGATCCCACAGTCATCAGGTCAGGTCAGGTCTTGTGTCTGGGCCTCTGTGAAGAGGTGGCCTAGGTTAGCCTGCCCATCACAGGTTGGTTGTCTTGATTTGTCGATCTCAGCAAGATGTTCAGGACATAGCCTAGCCAGCAGCCTATTTCTGAAGAGTCGGCACGCTCTGTATGAATGCAGTGCCCTCCAGCCTCATCCACCCTTACTGTGGGCGCTGAAGGAACCACTCAGGACTTCTGTGCAGAGACCCCGCAAGCTCCATGAGATGTGCTCAGTAAACGTCCCAGTGAAGGCTTCTCCAGGCTGCACTGGGAGGAGTGTGGACCATCAGGATCCAGGAATGGCTCGGGTCATGAATGGGGACACCAGGTGACCTCTCAATTTGCCTCTGGCTGTACCTGTGCCTATGACATCCGTACCTTTCTGAGCCTCATCCCTTCAGCCCCACTCCAAGGAAGGAGGCTTGGGTTGGTAGAGCAGTTGGATGACCAAGGGATCCAGAACCCTTCCCGTCTGGATCTGCCATCACCTCATTTCCTTCTCAGGGTACCAGGGCCTGACCAATTACTTATGGACAGATATTAACTGACAACCAAATGTCATCTCTTGACAGAAATAATGCATTCTGGGAAGAGCTGGTGCCTCCCTCTCTAACCATGGTTTTCAGACACCGTGACAAGGTAGGGTGGCAAGGCAGGGCTGAAGAACAATGCCACCCAACAAAGGCCTTGACTCCCAGTTCTGGCCCTAGTCTAGATAGGAAACTTTAACCAATTGCTTTTCTTCCTCAAAGCCTCCGTTTCTTTATCAGTAAAATTGGATGGTGTCTTGCATTGGGGGCTGTTCCAAAACATACCCCAGAGAGCCAAGTGTGGGTCTGGCATCTGGTAGGTGCACAACAAATGTTACTCATTGTTGACTCTTGCTCCTGCAAGTCTGCAGAGCCCGGGGATGACTGTCCTGGCTCCCTGGTTGTGGTAGACAGGATGGGCTGAGAGGCATGCAGCCTGTTCACCATGGGCTCCACCCCTGCCTGGTCAGACACTCCTGAGCCGCAGTCTCTTCATTTGCAAAGTGGGGTACTGTCACTGGCTCACTGGACGGGCCATTTATTTATTTATTTACCTTTTTATCTTATGCGTATGAGTGTTTTGCCTGCATGTGTGTATGTGCACCATGTGTGTGCTTTGTGCCTACAGAGGTCATCAGATCCCTTGACTCTGGAGTTGCAGATGGCTGTGGGTTCTGGGAACTAAGCTGGGCGTGGGTACAGACAGCACCCGGTCCTGGGAGTACCGGTGCTATGTGAGGGTAGTTGTCTCTCCTTGCTTCTCAGAGCAGTGGGTGCCGAGGGCCGACTTGTCGGGGAGGTCGAGGCCATGCAGAGTCCGGACCAGACTCTGTGATGGTGCACCTTGAACAAGAAGCCTGGCTGCCCCTCCCTCCCCTCAGGGAATGTGTGAGCAGAGGCCGTGGCCATCTCTGTAGCCATTGACTTCAGTAGCTGACTGTCTCCCCTCACATACATTACTCTGCGGCTTCGGAGACTCCAGAGAAACAGAGTGGGTGGCAGGCAGACACCCAAAGTTACCTCAAGAAGCGTACGTCTGTCAGGCCGCCCTGTGCAGGGAGAAGCCTGAGAAGGGGGAGGCTGAGGGCCTGAGGCTCTTGGTCTCTCCTCAGTTCTGCACTTTTGGTCTGGTTAGGTGAACATAGTTCCTGCTGGAGTGTGACAGCAACGACCACCCCTGTGTTCTGAAGCCATTTAATCCCGGGACAGCTCTTGTTCATCTGAGGTAGCCAGGGCAGGTGTGCAGCTGCGCTCCGGGTGCCCCGGCTGAGCCGGACTGCTCTACTGGCTCCGGTTTCTTCAAATGTAAGCGAAAGAAAATGAAGAGCCACCCCGTTCACCTTCAGTTCTGTGAGGACCAGCTAGTGCTGACCTCCACAAATGCCGTGGTCATTTTTTCTCTTCCCCACGACCTCCAGAGGAAAGCTGTTATCACCCCTTTAACAGTGGAGGGATTGGACACCGAGACAGCTGCCTCACCTGAGGTCCCACAGCTAGAAAGCAGTGGAACACAGTTGCCTCTGACTGTCCCTTTCTCCAAAGCCCTTGAGGGATTGACATTGATGTCACTGCCTCTCCTAGAGTTTTGTTTCTTGTGTGTCTGTTTTCTGGAGTGAGCTGGCATCCAGGTTGGGGGAAGGACTTCCTCCTTACCTCTCTAATGTCTTGGGGAACTCAGCACGTGCTTAAAGTGTCTTGTCAAGCTGCCACTTTGAAGAAGGAGAGGGGCTCTACTCTGAGGACCCCAGTTTTGGACATTTATTAAGCCAGGCTCTGGGCTAAGCATTTTGCATGGCCCTCATATTCCCCTCCTGGGTAGACATTGGCATTATCCCAGGCTCACAGATGAAGAGACCAGGTCTTGGAGAAGAGGGACTATCCTACAACAGCCAGCAAGTGACAGATATGAATCAGACATAAGTCTATCTTGATAGGGATGCTGTGGGTGGGTTTCAGGAAAGCGAGAGCAATACTAGCCCTGTCCAGCCAAGCAGGGCGCCAAAGCAGCAGCGCGGAGGGGGCAGGGCAAGTGGTGTGTGAAGCAGGTTCCAGGGAAGCCCAGGCGGAAGCCCAGATGCTGGAGCGAAGGGTCTATGTTACTTGCAGGTTTCTCACCAGCTTCCTCAGTCTCCCCCGCAGCCCTTTGCCATCTCTGCCCCAGCTCCCAGAACGAGTTCTTCTGAGGTGTGTTCTCCCACCCATGCACCTGCTCCAGCTTTGGCTCCTTCCTCAGTCCCCCAGGCTGTAAGAACTGTGGGCCCAGTGCTCATTCAGGGGTCATCATGGGCAAGTCCTGTTCTCCTTCACCCTGCAGAGTACACACATCTCTTGAACCTATCTGGCAAAGCTTCTTTGAGGCCCAGAGAAGCTAAGTGTCTGGGTGGCAACATGCCTCCACTCAGCATTTCTGTTGGCTTCACCTTGATGCTCAGACCTCTCTGCCCCTTACGGTGGGACAAGGGGACCACAGAGAGGGCAGAGGACAGATATACGAAACAGTGTGTCACACAGCAGTATCAGTGACCGAGGGCCAGCAATACTGTTTCTATAGGTGCCACTTGCTGAACACTGGCTAGAGCTTTGAAGACGAATGCTTCTAGCCGCTGTCACAGCTGAGGAGACCAAGGCACGGGGCAGGGGTGGTTACTGGTCAAGTCACAGAGGCGGGGATTAATGGCTCCAGCTTCAACCTTCAGCCTGTGCATGTCACAGGTGTTCCATAAATGTCGCTTTTCTGTGATATGAACACATGTACAGGTGACATGATCCTGTCAAGTATGCTGGGAGAGGCAGTAGGTAGAAATGGGACAGAAGAACCCCCCACCCTGTGTGCACCCCAATCCGGCTTTCCTGAGGGTCAGGGATTACGGGAGAGTGAGTGTGTACTTGACTGGGGTCCCAGGCGTTATCACCACCCTAAGGAGCTCTCTACACAGTCAGCATCAGACATCTGGTTGGTTTTTGGAGAGCCACTGCACCGTGCTCAGCCTCTCCTGGGCCAGATCCTACCTTCTCCCTAGATGTCCTTTTCGGAGCGTCTCCCAAATCAGCTCTCACAAAGCCCTCTCCGCTCTTCTGCCCCCAGGGAGCCGGGAGGCTGCCTTCACCTACGCAATTATTGCTGCGGGTGTGGCCCATGCCATCACAGCTGCCTGCACCCAGGGCAACCTGAGCGACTGTGGCTGCGACAAGGAGAAGCAAGGCCAATACCACCGGGACGAGGGCTGGAAGTGGGGTGGCTGCTCTGCCGACATCCGCTACGGCATCGGCTTCGCCAAGGTCTTCGTGGATGCCCGGGAGATCAAGCAGAATGCCCGTACCCTCATGAACTTACACAATAACGAGGCAGGCCGGAAGGTAGGCAGCAGGGAGGACACTGCAGTGAGGTCCTTGGTGACAGGGGTGGCGTCTGGGAAAGCCCAGCTCTGCACCTAGCTTCCTTCTGCTCCACTCTGGTGTCACGAGTGTGTGGCATGAAGCTTATTGGCTGAATAGAAAAAAAAAAAACAAACAAAATGGGTGCCTCTCAGCGAGGAGGGAAGAGGGAGGCTGATGAGTTCTCCAGGGCTCCACTGTCAGCTGTAGAAAGTGACTCTGGGGAAAGACTGAGGCAGTTGCCAGAGGCATCCACATCGACCAGCTTTCAGAGCAGCTACCCATTTCCTGTCGCCTAAACCAAGATCTAAGCCAATCCTAGAGGAGTAGGGCAGGATTTCTCCTGTTTCCTGCAGACTGGCTGGGAAGGGGAGGGAGCTGGATGCCCAGTCCATGAGAAGAAGCAGATGGGACTGAAGGGCCAGAGGAGAAAGCGAGGAGCCACAAGCTGCGGGTAGTAGAGGGAGGCAGGTCCTGCCAATGTAAGAACCAGCCATGGCCGTTGAAATGCATGAAGGCACCAATACATGAAGGAACCCTATCCCAGAAGTATTCACCCATCAGCAACCTGACCAGGCACTGAGGGACATGCCGGTCAGTGTTACCTGAGAGGGCAGTGTCCCTGGTTGAGGCCTGAGGCTGAGGTGGGTTTCTGAAGGCCTGTGAAGGATTAGAAGCGGGAAGGGGTTTGTGCTTTGCTCCATGAGGTATCTGCGAGGCAGGGTGGAAGGACTGACAGAGACACAGAGCTGTGGTGAAGCGGGGGGTGGGGTGGGGGGTGGGAGTGGGGGGGGTGTCCTCAGGCCTGACGAGCTCGTCACAGTTGGGTGGGCTCTGGGAGCAGGACAGCCAGTCCCTGAGTGTAAGTCTCGGGTTTTCTGTGCCACCACTTCATCTTTAGAACTGGTCTTGAAATGGGAAAAGCCAAGATTGAAGACAGTTCCCAGAAGGGCTCAGACATGAGAGTCTGCTGTTTGTCTAGGGGACCATGGCAAAGCAGTGTCTTGTTCTGGTGGAGCAGGTCCCCTGGGCCACGTTTCAGCTCATAGTGTCCCCAGGAGGTTGTATCATTTGTACCTTACTTTTACTGACGAAGAAACTGAGGCACAGGCAGGAAGCGATGCGCTAAAGGTCCCCTAGCACTGGCTCCCGGCACGTCTGGCCACAGTGTTCCCATTCTCTGCACAGATGTGTACATGGCTGCAGCGGCTGAGCCGGGGGCAGGGTCGCCTTTGCTCGGTCAGCTTCTGTCCTTCATTGCTGTACTGCCAGGGTGAGGAGGGAAGGCATCCCACTAAGATCTGACCCACCATCCTCAGTGCTCAGCCAGGGCAGGCGTGAGTTCATGTTGCCCACATATGCAGCACCCAGAGGGCCCCAGTGAGGAGTGTGGCTGGTGGCCTGCATACTGTGAGGGCATAGACAGGCCTGTATCCAGAAGGATAAGGGGCTACCCTACCCCCTTTCTTGTGCCCCCCTGACCACATGCTCTGTGCCACAGCCTCTGAGCAGCTTTGGTAAGTAAGAGAGACCTGGTCTTCCCTAGGATGATATCCAGGTAAATCGGGTGGCCCCAGGGACCATCTGTCCAGAGGGGTCATTCTGTGGGGGTCTCAGCTGTCCCTTCCTTTCCACTGCTGTAGTCAAACTCCCAGGGGGCCTGGAGGTCACAGGTGTTGCTTCCTTCCTGAAGCTCTCACTCCTTGGAGGCAGGCAGGAGGCAACAGCTTCCCTCCTTTATCTCCAATTTCCTTACCCCAGCTGCCTGCATGGCCTATGTTGAGGCAAAGCATGAGGCTAGCCCATGGATCACAGTGAACCAGGCTAGCCACTTTGGTAAGAGAGCCTCATAAGCTGCACAGTTGGTTTGAGGCACAAGGCTGTGGCTGCTGCTCAGTTATGCTACCCTGGGCCTGTGGCCCTACATGGTCACAGGAAAAGCTTAGTGGACTTCCTGGAAGAGGTAGGCCCCAAAGATAGCTGAATTTGGCTGATCAGAGGAAAGAGATGAAGGCCCAGAAGGATGGGACCTATGACAGAGTGGAGTCTGGCTGGTCTGTGGGTTCTTGGGGGATCCCCAGATCTGATAGGATGTCCTGATGTGGCTTCTCATTGTCCAGGTCTCAGGGGAGCTTCCTTCTCGTTCTTTCCCCACCTCTTTTGGGATGCAGCTTTGTCCCATAGCTTTCTCAGGACCGCCTTGGGGGTGTCCCTTACAGCTGCACCCTGGACCCTGGAGACAGACATGCTGCACATGGACACATTGATCAGGAGCCGTGGCAACTAGGTAGAGGTGCTTTGGCTCCAGAGCAGAGAGGGGTAGAAGTCATGGGAACAGGCTGCGGATAGACATTGGGTATGGATGGAGCACGGGCTGGGCCTGCCTGAGGTGTAAGGAGCACAGGAGGAAGGATTTTCCCCACTCGCTGGTGAGGACCTGTCTTAGTCAATATTCTATTGCTGTGAAGAGACATCATGACTAAGGCAACTTTTAGGAAAGAAAGCATTTAGTTGGGGGCTGGCTTACAGCTTCAAAGTTAGTTCATGGTCATCATGGCAGGGAGCACCGTGACATGCATGATATTGGAGCATTAGGTGGAAGCTACATCATTATGTGTAGGCAGAGAGAGAGAGAGAGAGAGAGAGAGAGAGAGAGAGAGAGAGAGAGAGAGAGAGAGGGAGGGAGGGAGGGAGGGAGGGAGAGAGAGAGAGAGAGAGAGAGAGAGAGAGAGAGAGAGAGAGAGAGAGAGAAAGAGAAAGAGAAAGAGAAAGAGAGACTGGGCCTGGCATAGGTTTTTGAAACCTCAAAGCCCATCCCCAGTGACACATTTCCTCCAACAAGGTCTAACTTCTAATCCTTTCAAATAGTGCCACTCCCTGGTGACTAAGCATTCAAATATGTGAGCCTCTGGGGGCCACTCTGATTCAAACTGCCACAGGACCCTTGGGTGTTTTCCCACAAAAGCAGTTCGTCTAGGGACCATGTACTATCCTGAGTGTGAGGGTTAGCTGGGGCCACTGGCCTAGGTCTGAGTCCCAGAGGATATTACTAATTGTAAAGCACACCCCTCCCCGGGACTTCCCAGCATATTCCAGGCTGCGCTGGACTCCACATGGCCGGTGAGGAAAGGCCCACAGCAGTTGGGCTTGGTAAGGATCGTGGTCTTGTTGATCGCTCGCTGCCTCGCGGAGACAAGACTCAACCTGACCACAGGCTCTGGAGCTTGTCAGCAGCTGGTGTGAGAGAAAATGGAGGGGCAGGAGAGCCAGGAGAAAGGCCACACATGCCTTCTGCAGGCTGCTGAGGGGCCACTGCTGCAGAAGCACTGACTGTGTGCCCTGCAAAGGAGGAGGACCAGTGTGAGGCTTCTGCCCTCAGTGGACTCCGGAACCAGTGGTCAGGGCATGGTGGGCCACTGTGCTTCAGCCTCTGATGGCAGGGGTAGTCACAGGGGAACTCACAGAAAGGCAGGCTAGGGACAGTAGATGCCTCTGGGGGAGGTGGCTGGGAGCTGAAGTCTCTCCCATTGGCCTTTTAGGGCCACATTATTTCTAGATTGATGTCACAGGCCACTCTGCTCCACACGCTGGTGGAGTACTAGGCTCACTCATTCCGGTTAGTGGTTCAAATCACAGGATACTTGAGGGAGGCAGACGTCTGGAGAATGGGCCTGAAATCCTCACAGCAATCTCTGTATCCTTGGATTATCTCTTTCCCGTCCCTTGGGTGGCAGGGAGAAGAGTTAATTACTCCATGGTCATGTCCTCAAGATTCCCAAGTTAGTGTGAATCAGAAAAAGGGGCCAAACTTTTGACTCATGGCTGAACGTTGTAGGAGAAAGATGGTTCAGAAAACACAGCAGCCGTGCTGTTTCCTAAGGGAGACAGCTGAGAGAAGAAAGAGATCTTCAGCCAGGCCTTGAAGGATAAACAGGAAGAAGACACCTAGCATAAGCAGGCATGGGACTCAGTGGTGGAGTGTCTGCATTCGTAATGCCCAGCATTAAAAAAAAGGAGGGGGGTGTTAAATCTTCAGAGAGCAGTAGGGGCTCCATGGTCTGAGGCTGGGTAAGAGGTAGTGAGGTTGCCCAGGAGGCTGGAATCAAATACCAGGCCTTACATGTCAGAAGTAGCCAGAAACAATGTAATGGCGGTGAGCTTTGGGTGGCTTCCTGTCCTTCCCTGACATGGCGAAAGGCCCTAGAGGTAGCAGGTGTCAACACCCAGGAGTTAGGGAAGTATAACAAGCAGCCTTTGGGCAATGTTTGGCAGCGTGCCCCTCCCTGGGTTAGGCAGAGGAGACTAGGAGGGTGCTCCGAGATGTAGAGGTGGTGACTCCTAGGGTTCTGGCACCTGACTATAGCTTCGGAGAATGCCTGTGTGGAGCAGGCCCATGACCCACTGGAGGGCGGGAACAGCGGGAATGGCTAAGAACGCCAAAGGCCTCTGAGGGGTGCAGGGAAGGAATAAAACAGAAGCCAGGAGGGTTCTGGGAAGGGAGGTGCTGGCAGGGAGGTGACCAGGACAGGGACCACCTGGGACCCCGCCGGACTGCACAGGAAACATCCCCCCAGTCTGCATGTTACGGTGGCTTCTGCCGTTTTCTCACCTGGCAACGTTATCTCCAAGTCCCCACAATGACATGGTATCTTCCTACTGGCTGTGGAGGTCTTGGTGTACCTACCCTCAGGGTGAAGTGTGCTGTGGAGCTCTGGAGGGTCCCGGGGAAGGATGGGCCGTCAGCAGCCCCTGAAGCAGTGAGGGTTGAGACCAGGACAGGCAGCCTGAGGACAGGGCCCCCCACTGGGACAGGCCAGCCCTGTTGGAATGTGCCTTGCTCCAGGGAGGTGAGCTAAGGGGGATGGAATTCCACCTGAGTGTGGAGTCACCTCTTGCTCACAAGGGGTGTTGGTCTTGTCCCTTCCTGCCCTGCCCTGTCTGGTCTGGGTGCTCCTGGGGGCTGGCTCTCTACTCTGGGCATGGCTGTAGGGAGGCCAGTGTATGGGGACAGCAGGGACCCAGCCCCTGGCAGCGAGGGCGAGGCCCAGATAAGACTTGCTCCACTTTGTTGCCGCTAGAAGCCACTTGCATACTTACCCAGAGAGAGTGGACAGTGTGGCATGTCAAGGGCCCGAGAGGCCAGGCCCCACCTCCCCGGAAGCCAGCTAGCAGTCCTCAGGCCACTGTGCTTACAAGTCCTGCCCCACATTTGGGACAGATAGGGGATCTCACCTTCAAAACGCAGGAAAGGTCTGCATCCTGGGCTCAGTGGATCCGGATGAGGGTGGCCTTAGGTCTCAGAGGCTTTTCCAGGTCTGACATCGGGGTAGAAGAAAACACAAAGCTCTTGAGGACCTTGCCTGTGCCCTCCCATGCTCACTAGCCTCTAGCCCTGAACTCCTGGGCCAACCATTTTGCTCCCACTCAGGGTTTTTACACACGCTGTCCATCAGGGTGAAGTTCAGCCCTTCTCAGAAGTCTTCTCTCCCCAGTGTCCACCTAGTCTCAATAATACCACTCTGCTTATTTATTTGTTTGTTTGTTTATTTATTTATTTAGAGACATAGTCTTGCTATATAACCCAAGCTGGCCTTGAACCTTCTCTCTCTCTCTCCCTCTCTCTCTCTCTCTCTCTCTCTCTCTCTCTCTCTCTCTCTCTCTCTCTTTTGGTGTTTGTGGGGGTTTAAAACAGAGTTTCTCCGTGTACAGCCCTCTGTTTTTATTTTTTAAGGCACCCCCCGCCATTTGAACTTCTTCTGCACAGCCCTCCATGTCTTTATTGTCCACTACCTCCCACTACAAGGTCAGCATCATGAGGGTCAGGACAGCCGAGTCGTCTCTGCCTGGAATGGTGCCTGGCACACAGTAGGGGTTCAAGAAAGGTCTCCAGAGTGTGTGCATGAGTGGCAAGTGTCTGCTCTTTCCCGGAAGTGTCTTGGGAGGAGGATGCCAGATGGAATTTGAGATTCCCAGTTAAATTTGGATTCAAGATAAGTAAGAAATAAATTTTATTTATGTGTGTCCCAAATGTTTTATGAGACACACAATTAGATGTCTTCTTTGTTTATGTCAAATTCAAATTTAACTGTTTTGTGTATTCTGAGTAAAGCTTATGCTGTGGTAACTATGGGCTCACATGAAATTGAAAGAACACAGAAACTCTGAGGACCTGTTGTTCAGCTCCCCCACAGTGACAGCCTGTAGAATTGTAGGACGCTGTCACCCCAGGACCCTGGCACTGATACCACGGAAGTACAGAGCCTGAGGACCGTGTGCCATTTCCCTCCTTCAGGACTCCCAGTCACCACACATCACTAATGTTTTTAATTTTGTTGTATTAGAAGGTTGGATAGAAGGAGTGGGGAAGGATGCAGCCGATAGAATCCCTTCTTGCTCGATGTTATCTCCTAAACTCACTCAAGTTGCTGTGTGCAACCATAGTTCTTGCCTCTCAGCAGTCACGTGACAGTCCACGTGACAGTCCATGGCTCAGAGGCGGCACACTTGGTTTAGCTGTTCCCCCGCTCAAGGACGTCAGGTTTGTTGGCAAGCTTGGACCGTTGTAAATAAAGCTGCGGTGAATGTGTGTGTACAGATTTTTCTACGAATGTGAATGTCTAGTTCTCTATGCTACATGCCAAGAGAGCCAACATACTGTTGCTGAGAGTTTAGCTTTATGATAAAGCAGCTAAGCATCCCTACAGAGGGATGTCAGCTTCGCATCACTATATGACAACTGCTGAGACCACTGAACTGTGAAGGGGAAGGGCCGCCTTGGCTCCTGGTTTTGGGGGTCCACAATGGGTTGATCCTCCTGATTTGGGTCTGTAGCAGCTCATCACAATAGGATGTATGATGGAGCAAAGCTGCATACTTCATGTCTGGAAGGTGACAGACAGGGACAGGGTGGACCATGTCCCACTTTCCCCTTTGAGGGCACCTTCAGTGACTTGAAAACTCCCTTGCCTCTTGAAGATCCCCCTGTCTATTGGGAAGCAGCCCTTTACTACATGGGCCTCCTGGGGACATCCCAGGTTGAACTACAGCACTGGCATTGCCATTTTCCACTCCCAGAGCCATCTGTGAGTGACCCAGCTTCTCCACATCCGTGCCCACACTTGGTGATAACACAGGTTTTTATTTCTGTCGCTGGGATGGGCGTGTGCCGTACGTATCTCAGCAGGGCTCTAGCCACACCTCCAATGGCTGATAAGAGGAGCATCTCTCCTTGTGTGTTTCTGCCATCTGTGTACCTCAGAGGGTATGGTGGGAATGTGTCTGTCCATCCTCTGGCTCCTGTTTTAGACTGCTGGCTTTTTTGGCTGTTGGTTTTGGACATTTTGAATTCATCTCTTCAGGCGCTTTTGTCAGGTCTGTGTTTGCAAGCCTTTCTCCGGTCTACAGCTTGTCTTTTTATCTCCATGACAGGGCCTTTCCCAGAGTGAAAGTGGGCCTGTTGTTACTGCTGTTTGTTTTTATACACTGTCTCACTGTGTAGCTCAGCTGGCCTTGAACTTGTGGGAGGAAAGTGCTTTCGAAGTTGGCTAAGAAACCTTTGCTACCCTGGGTCCCTAGGGTGCTTTATTTCTAAAAGTTTTGCATTTAAATTCCTGGTGTGGTGGCATGTGCCTGTAAGCCCAGGACTCAGAGGGCTGAGGCAGGGAGATTGTGAGTTTGAGGTCAGCCTGATCTATACAGTAAAGCCCTGGCTCAAAAAAAAAAAAAAAAATTAAGACTACCAAGTGAGTTCCAGGAAAGGCGCAAAGCTACACAGAGAAACCCTGTCTCGAAAAACCAAAAAAAAAAAAAAAAAAAAAAAATTAAGCATTTAAGCCCACTCATTTTATAACTAGATTATCCAGATGTTTTAAGCCTAATACAAAGCTTACCACTTCAACTATGCTTCCATATATGATTATGCAGCTCAAGGTCATTAGCATCATGAAACACTACCACATCTGTGCACAGCCTCCATCACACTTGTCCAGAGCCCCCATCATACCTGTGTAGGAAACATCACACTTGTGCCAGAGACACCACCATACCCATGCCAGAACCTCCATCCCCACACCTAAGCCAGGGCCTCCATCCCCACACCTATGCCAGAACCTCCATCCCCACACCTAAGCCAGGGCCTCCATCCCCACACCTATACCTTGTCCTCCATCCCCACACCTATACCTTGTCCTCCATCCCCACACCTATGCCAGGGCCTCCATCCCCACACCTATGCCAGGGCCTCCATCCCCACACCTATGCCAGGGCCTCCATCCCCACACTTATGCCAGGGCCTCCATCCCCACACCTATACCTTGTCCTCCATCCCCACACCTATACCTTGTCCTCCATCCCCACACCTATGGCAAGGCCTCCATCTCCACACCTATATCTTGGCCTCCATCCCCACACCTATGCCAGGGCCTCCATCCCCACACCTATATCTTGTCTTCCATCCCCACACCTATACCTTGTCCTCCATCTCCACACCTGTATCTTGTCCTCCATCCCCACACCTGTGCCAGAGCCTTCATCAAATTCTTTGATTTCAGCAACTTGAAAGCTGCAGCCTCAGCCCCAACACCCTAACCCAAAGCCTCCAGCCTCCAGTCACTGAAGCTACAAACCACAGCATAGACTCCCCACTTCCTGTCCTGGCCTAATGACATACTTTTCCTCTTTGCTTCCACAAATTTGACCATTCCAGAGACCAATTAAGAATCCAGAATTAAGCTAGATTGGGGTGTTTTTCTTCTGTGTCTGGCCCGAACTGGCCTAATGTCTTACAGGTTCTCATGTTGTAGGTGTGACTTGTGTGACAATATTCCTATTTTAGCTTGATTTTCATAGTGGTTGAATCTGGTTCCTCTGCTCAGCCCTGGTGCCCAGACAAGGAGTGTAGCCTCTAAGAAGGAATTGGACCAGGAGAAGGAATTGTAGGCCTATTCTGGATCTAGAGACTTCTTCTGAGGGTCCACCGGTGGAGAAGCAGGCCAGGATTGGTACCCGGCCCAGCTTAGGCTCTCCTGCCTTGTGGTAGAACATGCTGGATGAGAGGTGTGGCAGAGGCTGGGACCATGATGGAGATGAGAGTCCAGGACTAGGATATTGATACTGATGGAGCTAGAACTGGTCTAGAGAAACCACTGAGAACAGGTCAGAAGGGAACTGACCCTGGTCAGGGTGGAGGGTGTTCATGAGGACTAGGGTTTTTCCTCTTCATCCAATGTCATAGCCAGGGCTGGGTCCAGCCAGCTCCTGCCATTGATGCCACAGTGATAACCATGACCAGTATCCAGGGAAAGAGTGATGAGACAAGGGAGGAGTGGAAATCAGTGGCCAGATAGGGCAGCTCTTCCCAGAGAAACTGGCGAGGCCTGTGGGTCCCCAGCTGTCACTTTGCTCTGGGCTGCCAAGACCTCCTCGACTCAATCCCATGAAGACACGACAGCCCAGGCTTAGCTCAGAGAGTGATTGGACACCCTGGCCCCAGAGGAACTTGGGTCACTCATCCAGGAAGGTGATTTTTAGCGAGTTGTCACTGTCCCCCAGGCCCTCAGCAGGCCAGGATGTCCAGGAGGGAGAGCGTGGGAAAAGGCAGGTTCAAGTCCAGGCGAAGAAGACACAAGGCTCTTGTCATGGGGATTGACACAGGCAGACACAGGTTCTCTGCTAGGGGGACACAGGAAGTCTAATATCAGCACCAACAGTACAATCCCATTTAATCCCCACAACCGTTAACCTCCCGCCTGGTCACAAGTCTGCCTTCCCCGTTTTACACTTGGGAAAATGGAGGTGAAAAGAGGAAAATGGTCCAAGGCTACACCACACTCAAGTTACCCTAGACATCTGAACTCAACAATGTCTGGGGCTGACCTTTCTCAATCCCGACATCCCATGAGTGATTCCACAATATTATCCCAAAAGACTGGAACCTTCTGAAGCAACTCAGAAGCTTTGGTCCTCAGCCCCCAAGGTCCCACTCTCTAACCACGTGGGCACTGAGGGTCATTCAGGCACTGTGTCCTGTCTTGCTCTGGTTGTGGGGCCCTAGACATTGTCTTCCACCTAGAAGAGGACACCTGGGAGCCAGAGAAACAGCTGATTTAGAGGTTTATGCATTTATGTCTTTTTTGGGGGGTTTCAAGACAGGGTTTCTCTGTGTAGCTTTGTGCCTGTCCTGGATCTCGCTCTGTAGATCAGGCTGGCCTTGAACTCACAGAGATCCACCTGCCTCTGCCTCCCGAGTGCTGGGACTAAAGGCGTGCACCACCACTGCCCGGCTGCATTTATGTCTGTTAAAGCAGAATTCTGGGCC